CACAGAATTACAATCTGAACTACAGTAAAAGTTACCAACTTCATGAAAATAATAGTAAACTCCCACACGACAGATACTTTGACATGACTGTTACATAGAGTATTTTTCACTTTAGGGTGGAAAAAGGATGAAAACTGATACGTCAAGAAACTTAAATTCCACTTTGTGCCACACCAACTCTACCACTTCAAAGTAACAACAAACGTCATAAACTCATCTGAACCAAACACCAACTAGAAATCCACATAGCCAAACAGTAACCCATGAAAAGAGAACTAAATCTATGTCTACCGAAAAACTCCACGAGTACCAGCCACCAAATGCCGACAACCACATAACACATGTGAAAAAAGAATACACTCTCACATCCATAATCAAACCCAGACAACTGCCAAATCCTAGTCCAAGTATACTCAAACAGACATATCTACACATTCAAAGTCACCAGGATAGAAACCAACTTCTATGCTAACCAACCTACAAGAATGTCAATGTCCAAGGTCACAGTTAGGTCCTAATTCTAAGTCGACCTTTTCCAAATTTTTTTTTAAACCAAGATTTCATCTTAATAAATGAGTAAATCTAAATAGATTTCTTACTTTAGTATAACAACTTATTTTTTTCTTTTAAATGTTTAGTTATTAACAGTTTTTACTTTGATTCGTGTATTCTCTGTGCTAATGACTTTTTCTTTTCAGTTTAGATTTTTCTCAACTTACGTTCCAGCACAGGCTCTGAACGGGTTGATTTTTCAGTACCAGACCAGTTGAAGTAAGTTTTTCTCAAGGTACTCCCATTTACCCTCTCACCAAATTTTGTGGTACTAGGATTTACTGATCTCCTCATCTGCCATCATGTGTCACCGTATCCTCGAGCATGTCTCCTTAGCCCAATCAAGCTTGGTAATTATTATTACTATTTCATTAATTTACCTATTATTATTATTTTTCCCCACTTATACCTACCACAAACAGTGTAAAAGAGAACTTCTGAACATCTTGGGAAAACTAAACTTCATAAAACTGGTCATGTATTTAAGACTAAACACTCTGGATAAGTCTAACATTACCTTTGAATTAGATGACAGATTTAAACAGACTAGTATATGATCTAAACAGATACAGTTTGGAGAGAAAGCAACTTATGATTCAGTAAAAATGACTGTCCAGCATTCCACACACACAGTGTTCAAGCTGTTAAACAAAAATTGTTTAGTGTGTCTTACATTGTATCTAGTGTTTTTATTTCATCCTCATTAATTCAGCCAGTATAAGAGAAATTCAAAATTATTCTGCAATAAACATCTTGTAAAATCTCATTACTCAGCAGACTTATCTTGTCCCTCAAAGTAAAATCAGTTTTACCTCAGGTTACTAAAGAGTAGATAGGAAAGAGAAAATATTGGCACCATCACCGCAAGATATCTTATTGTGGAGTTTTCTGTTTTTTGCTCATGTGTTCATTGCCCTTCACTCCTACTCTTGTGTTTAAGTTTTAAAAAAGATGTCATTATAATGGAAATAACACTTTCCACAAGTTAAAGGACTTATAACAAAAATGAATAATTTGTCAATGAAAGAAGATGACTGTTTAAAAGAGTTGTTGCATCTAGGAAAAGTCCTCTTTCAGACATTGAACTTTTAACAATGGTGTGAAGATCCACGACAACTTGTTCCAGCTGATGACTCTGGAATGAAAGTCACTGATGTTGGTTGAACCTCAGCAGGAGTAAATGATGAATGAGTGAGTCATCAATGTGGTGCGGATGAGGTGAGTCCGAGACTGAATCACAGCCTTTATATGACCCTTTGACATTTGCAAGCCAAAGTTAGTCAATCTCAACTCTTGTCAAAACCACCTGAGAAATAGCAGTTAAGAAGGTGGGCATTGAATGGTGAAGCTAGTGAACAATGAAGCAGTGATTAGCCAGGAAGTATACTTCTAGGGTGAACATGTATCATGTAAGAACCTGGAAACATGCAGATCCAACAGCTGAACTTGTTGCCTGCCATTATGTACCGGAGATTGACTACCTGCATGAGAAACAAAGTGACTGAGCATGCCTACAATGTTGTACCTGCAACATCAAGGACATCTTGGTCATATGTGATAAATTCTGGCCACAATCAGAGTGAGACAAAATAGATCATGCTCCCAGCATTGAAAGGTGAAGCAAAAGAACATTTGCACCATTTTCTGAAGTTTTTCAGGTAGGTAATTGCATGAAATGGCTGGTGTACAAAGAAAGCTGCACAACCTGATCTCGAGGTTAAATGGTCTGGTTTATTATTCCACTGAGCACTTAAGCAAGGCCCAATTATGGGACTATAAGACAATTACTGCTAAGTATCACCAAAATGTTCAGAGCCACTCTGGGAAATCCACTGGGCCAAGTTCAAGGTTCAAGAAGAAGGGCACCATGGAAAACTCGGCTGTTTACACGGATGGCCTGTGCCATTTTCATAATAAAGCCTACACTGCAGTGGCTTCAGCTAATCACAAGGATATCCTGATTGACAAGTTTGTGAAATGATAAGGCACCACCTGGGTGTGTGAGACCTTCTCAGCCTTACCAAGGTAGTTTCTGTAGCAATGCAGAATGAAGTGGCAAATTCAAACTGAATGTAACAGAAGAAGAAATCTGTAGCATCTTAACATGCTCAGCAAATGATTAACTAACCACCTACACATTTTGCTGCTGTAATACAAACACTTTGGTATCAAGTGAATGGGCAGGATTATATGGTCCTCCCATGGTTTATATGTACAGCATATGTCAACGATATATTTCTGCTCAAACATCATTTTGCAAAAGAAAAGAAAAGTTTTTGTTTTACCTATGGGATGCTGTGTCACATTTTTGAATGAATTGCCATACCTTGCCAAAGAGTAAGGAAGAAAAGACTATCAGTTTCAACCAATGGCTCAAAAATACAGAAGAGCCAACAACAGGTGGTCAACACTGTCACTACAGCATAAAAAGACTAATGAAATCCATTTCCGGGCAGGCAACTGAATGAGAGGTAGTGCAATGGATTACTAACACTGTAAGGTTTGGTGGTCAGCCTAGCTCTTTTAGGGTTGGGTGGGTCTTGGTCATGTCTGGTACATACATGGGTGAGAGATAAGAGTTTCTTGTTTAGACAGGAGTAGCCAGAACACTAGTAGATTTTACAGCATATCAGGCACTCTGAGTAAAACCACAACACATACTAATCAACACAAACTTTATTTTTTGTGAGTAGAAATAAACTAGATGGTGAGTTGTTTCTCTGACTATATCTTGGAGGCATCACTCATACTATAAAAATAATTGCTTCAGTTCTTGCATCTTGGGATAGATGTATTGCAGAGTTCAGTCAGTTTTGCTTGTGCAATTAATGAACTGATGTTGCATGGGAGGGTTAATCCAATGGTAGCCAGACCAGGTTCAAGAACAGTGGAATGCACGAGTGTATGCGGAAGAGAAAGTCACAGTACCACCATGTATACAAGTGGTGTTGCATGGGAGGGTTAATCCAATGGTAGCCAGACCAGGTTCAAGAACAGTGGAATGCACGAGTGTATGCGGAAGAGAAAGTCACAGTACCACCATGTATACAAGTAG